ACACACCCAGAAGCATGTGTTGCTTCTGGCATTGCTGATCCACAAGATCGTTCAGAGCGATCTCTTGTTCAAGCACATCCCCCTTCGATACTTGATCTAGCGAAGGGGACACACATCTACTTCTCTTACCCGGCCTCTAAAGTCGAGGAAGAAGAAGAAGTTGTAGCAACATCAAGAGATAGCTCCTCACTAAAGGGCTATCAAGGACATGATGGAAGTCCTTCACGGCCCATATTTTCACAAGGCCAAGAAGGCGCCTCTGGAGCTGAGGCTCAACCTGCAACATCCGTTGCTACAGGGGTTACCCATGTGGATGATCTGGTCACAAAGGTTGAGTTCCAAGCCTTTGTAGACACGATTCAGCGGTCCTTGGAAGACCTAAAACTCACCATCCAAGGGATTGTCAACAACCCCCCACCCATTGACCTAACCCCCCTACGACATTCCCTTGCAACCCTTGAAGCCCAAACAAGAGACAACACAACTGGTCTCCAAATGCTACAACAGACAGTCACCCAACACCACAACACCTCCTTTTCCCTTGCCACCTAAAGAAATCAACTCCAAATTCACTCCATCGCCACCCTCACGGCCAAAGCAACAGCAACCGATGAAACATTAGCCTCCATCACCACCCAACTAAACACCATCTCCCAAACCATAAACAACCTCCCATCCTCCATCTCATCTCTAATCCCACAACCTACCCCAACCACCACTACATCCATCGATGACACACTAGCCTCTCTTTCTACCCAAATGACCACCATCCAAAACACCCTCTCCTCCCTCCCGGCCACCATACTAGCCAACATACCCCAACCTCCTCCTCAACCTCCTTCTGCAGGTCCATCCTTCGATGAAGCCTTCACTTCCTTCACTGCAGAGGTGAGGAATCTCATTGCCAATCTTCCCATTCCTCCATCCACATCCACCACCACCTCCATGCCCCACCTGCCTCCACCTCCACCATGAAATATGCAACCAGGGCCGACTTAAGGGCCCTGTCAAAGGCACTTGTCACATCCTTCAATGAGATAAGTGCAAAATTCGTTCATCGTGCTGCACAACCAACCAAGGCTCTCTCCCAGAGCCTTGTTTATCAACAAGCATGCACCAACTCCCTCCTTCACTCATTAGAGGAGAGCCGGAGTCAACAACCCTTGAAGGCGTATCTTGCGTCCTTCAGGAAGGAGAAACAGAAGAAAAGGAGCAGAGCTTCATGATCCAGCAGCCGACTACACAAAAGGCCAGCCATGAGGACCCAAACCCCGATGATCAAGGTCTAGAACCTCATGAGGAGGAGAACGAGGTCGCGGCTGCTCAACATATGGAATCCGCTGCACCATCACCACTACCCCAAATACAAGAATAGCCTTCACCATCAACCCAAGCAAGGGAACCAGAGGCTCAGCCCTCTGAAGATATACATAATGTACATGTTCCCCTTGCCACTCCCCAAGAACCCATCGAGTTAAGATCATCGACCGATGAAGAACCATCCACACCACCAACCAACCTACCCTTCACCCCATCACTAACTCCTAACTTACCATTAACCCCCTCACCAACACCATGCACCACAGAACCCTTCGCCACTCTACCCATACAACCTGAACCCACAATCACCCAACCTTCATCACCACAACAACCTCCAACCCAAACTCAACTCGATGAACTAAAAACCACCCAAACACAACCCCTTCAACCAGAAATCACCTCACCTGAGATCAATGAACCCGAGCCAACCAAAACCCTTCTATCGCCAACCCACTCTCAACCATTAACTCAAACACAACCCACAGCCCAACAAACCCAAGTGCAAGCGGATGTTCCTTCATCTTCAAGGCACCCTACTCAAGGGATAGTCGATGAAATAATAGCAAACATGGAGTCGCTCAGGAGACGGCCAGAGGTGCCACCAAGGGAGCCAGTTATGATGGAGAATATCCATCAATACATGTACCATGATCGCGATGAAGGGCTGACACTCAATCCTCCAATTCTATCACCAGAATCCATAAACCTCTTACACCATAGGTTTGCTAGACAGACCACCCAACCACCAAGGGCTGTCTTTTCAAACGATGGAATAAAGTTGGTCATGGACATCAAAATGAGGACCTTCGCCAACTAAACCATTAAGTACATCGAGTACACAGTGGAGTGAGCTCATGGTCAGGTCAGCGTCTTTAGTGACAATGACTTGATTAATCTCAATCCCTATGACTTGATCGAGCTATACGTGTACACGACTCAACGATAGGATCATGGCATAAGATTTGGAATGACTAACAGAGCGATCGTACATACTATAGAGACCTTGGTGAAGCATCAAGCCAAGAGTGACTTCAAGATTGCTCTTCGGCTTGGCATCAAAAGACTATCCTGCACTCCACCCAACGAAGACTTCCCTGGGCTGCAGGAGAAGAGATCTGCCTCTGTCCTCACTCAACCAGAACTGGGTCTAGTATACAAAAATGAGTTTGGAACAAAGAAATTATTTAGGTTGACTGAGGCCTTGTATTCAAATAAAACACTTAAATGGTTTCAGAAAGCCATAAGAGAAAGATTGGGCAGATCTCACGTACCAACAAATGATGGACAGAGATTGATATATGAAATATCTACAGTCATCGATTACAGAGGACTACTTATGCGCTTTTGGGAAATATCTCAGGGGAGACCCTAAAAGTAGTCTTATATTGTTGTCTTGTAATTTTCATTTCACCAATGTAAGAATTCATCATTTGATCCAATGAAAAATTTGGCAAAAGATGTTTTTTCTCTAGAATAGCCTCTGTTCTTCATTTATACCTTGAATGTTCTTAGAATAGTTGATGTTTGTTCTTTCATTACTTAAAGGGAGATTGTTAGACCCCATAAGTATCATGCATGAAGTAATGAAGACAAACAAATGATGAAGAACCAGAAGGCCGATGGAAGACTTCAAGGAAAGATGACTAAGTCTGAAGAACAACCAGAGGGTCGATGAACTGACCAGAGATGCGATGGAAAGTGCATCTCCATAACCCCTCTGGATACTAACACTTGGAGTTTCCTTCACCAATTCAACCAGAGGCAAGCAATGAAGATATGAAGATAAGGTTGAACGCATATCCTATAGAAGACAGCTGGAGAAAATCATTCAACAGCTAGATTCTACAAAGTTTATCTCATTTTAATGTTTATCCTTATTATAGATAAGCTTTATCTGTTAGTAGAAGATTAGCTAAATAGTCTTGCTAGATAGTTATCTTCTTATTAGCCTACTAGTATAAATAGGTGATTAGGCCTATTGTAATCATGGACGCTTTACGTTTTTACATTATTATTAAATAAAGTAAAATCTTTGGCACTCAAGATTGTTCTTTGAATGTTCATACATTATTCTTGAGTGTTCATCATTTTGTTCATTAGAACACTATAATTTGGTTATTCTTAACCTGATTATTAGTGTTATTGAGAGATCTGGGATCAACACAAGGAGCTATTAAGAAAATGCCCTCACCATGGCATTCCATACTGTATACAGCTCGAGACATTTTATAATGGGCACTGCAAAACAAATGCTCGATGCTACATCAGGAGGAGCTTTCACAGCTAGTACCTATAATGATGGATATGATATCCTTGAAAAAATTTCTCATAACAATGGACATTGGGCCAACCCACGTGCACTAGTACCACGCAAAACAGCGGGAGTTCATGACATAGATGCTTTTACAGCATTGACGGCTTAGATGACTGCAATGACCAACTTGATTAAAAATCTAACAAATGGTCAAGCAGCACAATCCATAGCCACCGCACATGCTCCAACTATTGAGTCGGTACAATGTGTGTATTGTGGTGGAGGACATCTCTTCGAACATTGTCCATCCAACTCCGAATCAGTCAATTATGTTGGGAATCAAAATAGATCAGGACCATTTTCTCAAACATACAATCCTGGGTGGAGATAACACCCAAATTTTTCATGGCACAGTCATGTTCTACACCCACCAATGAACAAACCCCAATGGACTTCATACTTTCAATCACATCAGTCTCAACAGCATCATTAGGGTCAAGTTCCAAACCATCACCAAAATACTTTTCATCAGCAAACAAATCAGTCATCTTTCCAAAACAAGTCTAACCAACAAGCCGAATCTTCTACTTCTTTGGAAGCAACTCTGAAAGGATTCATAAACCAAACCAACACATCCATGAACCATCAGAACACTGCCATATGATCTATAGAAACACAGATTAGTCAACTTGCACTTGAGGTAAGAAATAGACCTGCAGGGACTCTTCCTAGTGATACAGAGATTCTAAAGTCAATCATGAAAGAGCATGTGAAGGTAGTGACCTTAAAGAGTGGAAAGAACCTCATAGAGAGTGAACCTATGAAAAAGTCTGTTGAACCCCAAGACCTAATTGAGATGGAGGTCACAACATCCAGTTCAGATATTGTCACACCCACCTTAAAAGATAAGGGAAAATCAATAGAAATAGGACCACTTCCTAAGAAAGCAGACTTTCCCTTGTTATTTCCAAATGAAGGCAAAAAGAAGGTATCATTYCAGAATGATATTGGAACATCTTCTTCTGAAAGTAACAAGAATGTTGAGTCACCAGTCCCTCATAGTGAACCTATCATCATCCAGGAACCCCCTAGTCAGTCCTCTAAAAAACCAGTCATAGCTCATATTCCTCCTTATATACCTTTTCCACAAAGATTGAGGAATCAGAAAGAGAAGTTGCAGTTCAAGAAGTTCTTTGATGTGTTCAAACTGTTACATATCAACATCCCGTTGGTTGAAGCTATTGAACAAATGCCAAGTTATGCAAAATTCCTCAAAGACATTTTGAGCAAGAAAAAGAAGTTGAACGAATTTGAGACTGTAGCCCTAACAAAAGGTTGTAGCGCCCTCCTTTCAAATAACATTCCCCCTAAACTCAAAGATACTGGGAGTTTCACAATTCCATGTTGAATAGGTGGGAATGAAATTGGAAAGGCTTTATGTGATTTAGGTGCCAGTATTAACCTCATGCCCTTGTCAGTATTCAATACCTTAGGCATAGGTGAGGCTAGACCAACCACAGTTACCCTTCAGTTAGCATATAAATCCATAGCTCACCAAAAGGAAAAATTAAGGATGTATTAGTCCAAGTGGATAAATTCATTTTTCCCACGGACTTCATCATTCTTGATTTTGAAGCTGATAAAGAGACACCAATCATCTTAGGAAGACCATTCCTAGCAACCGGTAGGAATTTGATTAACATTTAGAAAGGAGAATTGACTATGAGAATGATCAGGATGTCACTTTTAATGTCTTCAAATCCATGAAATACCCGGATGAAAATGATGAGTGTTCTAACTTGAGTGTCAGTTGTGCCACAAAGAAGGAGTTAAATCTAGGTTAGACTTAAGCAAGACTGAAGTTGTTGAGGAGATAAAGCATGGACAGGAAAGTCAGATAACGCTGTTGCAAGATACCCTTGCTTTTGAGGTATTAGAAAGTGAGAGTGCGAAGACCCATGCCACATCTATTGAGTCACCACCAGACTTAGAGTTGAAATTATTTCCCTCACACTTAAAGTATGCATTTCTAGGAAAAGAAGGGAGATTACCTGTCATTATCTCATCCACCCTAGAAACACAGGAAGAGCAGTTGGTAGACTTGTTGAAACTACACACCAAGGCTATTGGATAGACCATCTCTGACCTAAAGGGTATTAGTCCCTCAATATGTCAGCATAAAATCATCTTAGAAGATAAGAGTTTCACTTCCATTGAACCTCAAAGAAGATTAAACCCAATCATGAAAGAGGTTGTGAAGAAAGAAATTTTAAAATGGTTCGATGCTGGCATAATGTATCTAATTGCAAGTAGCTCATGGGTAAGCCCCGTACAGTGTGTCCCTAAAAAGGGAGGTGTCACTGTGATCTCAAATGAAAAGGATGAGCACATTCCTACAAGAGTCGTGTCTGGTTGGAGAATTTATATGGATTACTGTAGACAGAATAACGCAACTCAAAAGGACCATTTTCCTTTGTCTTTCATAGATCAAATGTTAGACAGACTAGCTGGAAAAGACTACTATTGTTTTTTAGACGAATACTCAGGTTACAATCAGATTGCAATAGCCCCGAAAGACCAAGAAAAGACCACTTTTACATGTCCCTATGGTACCTTTGCCTTTAGAAGAATGTCATTTGGTCTATGTAATGCTCCCGCCACTTTTCAAAGGTGTATGATGTCCATCTTTTCAGACATGCTTGAAACTTCCATGGAAATTTTTATGGATGATTTTTCTGTATATGGTACATCATATGATCAATGTTTGAAAAATCTTGAAAAAAGTCTTGAAAGGTATGAAACAACTAATTTGGTTTTGAAAAAGGTCATTTTATGGTCATAGAAGGTATTGTTCTTGGTTATCTGATTTCAAAAAGGGGAGTAGAGGTTGACAAGGAAAAACTTGAAGTAATTGAAAAATTGCCTGAACCAACCACCATAAAGGGTATACGAAGTTTTCTTGGACACGCTGATTTTTTCAGAAGATTTATCAACGATTTTTCAAAAATTTCAAAATCTTTGTGTTCATTACTTCAACATGACCAAAAGTTTGATTTTAGTGAGGAATGTAGAAATGCATTTCACACTTTAAAAAAGGCTCTGGTTACTGCACCCGTAATTGCTACTCCAGATTGGAGTAAACCCTTTGAAATTATGTGTGATGCAAGTGATTGGGCTGTGGAAGCCATTTTAGGACAAAAAAAAGAAAAAAAATTACATTCCATCTATTATACAAGAAAAACTTTGAACGAAGCTCAAGTGAACAATACAACAACAGAAAAAGAATTCTTGGCTGTGGTGTTTGCTTTTGAAAGATTTAGATCATATCTGATGGGAACAAAAATCATTATGCATACTGATCATGCTACCATCAAATATTTGATCTCAAAAAAAGATGCAAAACCCAGACTGATAATGGATTATGTTGTTGCAGTAGTTTGATCTTGAAATAAAAGATAGAAAGGGAGTGGAAAATCAAGTAGCAGATCACTTGTCTAGATTAGAGAAGCAACCTACTGACTTGAAAGACATCATAGAGACTTTTTCGGATGAAAAAATCTTGATGCTAAAGCCATTGGAATCACCATGGTTTGTTGATATAGTCAATTATTTGGCTTGTGGCATTAAACCTTCTGAGTACACTTGGCCTAAGCTCAAGAAATTTTTGCATGATGTAAAAGTTTACCTGTAGGATGACCCTCTTTTATTTAAAATTGGTGCAGATCAAGTCTTGAGAAGATGCATTCCGAAAACAGAGGTAACAAAAATCTTGGAAGATTGTCACAAGGCATCATATGGTGGCCATTTTGGCGGACAAAGAACGACAGCCAAGGTATTACAGTTTGGTTTCTTTTGGCCAACACTTTTTCAAGATGCTCATAATTTTTCCAAAAGATGTGACGAATGCCAGAGAAGTGGCTCAATTTCCCAAAGGAATGAAATGCTTTTAAATAGATATTTGGAGGTTGAATTATTTGATGTTTGGGGAATTGATTTTATGGGACCATTTCCTCCATCTAATAATTGCCAATATATTTTAGTCGCCGTTGACTTTGTGTCAAAATGGGTGGAAGCAGTGGCATGTGTTTCAAATGATGCAAAAACCGTGGTTAAGTTCCTCCACAAACAAATATTCTCAAGATTTGGCACCCCAAGAGCACTAATCAATGACGAGGGTACTGATGAGCTGAAATCGTAAGTGTGCACACAGTAGGCATAAAATCCCCAAAGTGGCAGTGCAAGTGCACGCCGACACTAAGATCACTTCAATTAATAAAGTGGTATAATACCAAGATCGTTTCCACAGGGACCGGACTTACTGAGAATCAGAGACTTTCATGAACTTCTTGAACAATGCTTCGAGTTGAGAAAATATTTGAGTTTTGATTGGTGCAAAGTGTTTAAAATACGAAATAAACTTTTAATATTAAAAGATGGGTATGGGTGTAAGCTTTGCTAAAGAATAGTACAGGAACGACTTGGTCAGAAACCCATGGGATTTCTATAAGAACTCCTTTCTCTAGAAAGCGAATTCTTATATACTGTGCCCACAGAGTGCCCACAAAGCGTCCAAATTTATCAATCTTAAACTTGTCGATTTAGCTACTAGATAAAAAGATATCTGGCTCCACTAGTCTGAAGATTTATACTCACAACGTATTGTAGCATAAACTCGACTAATATYTGAACAAAAGCTAAAAACATGCAAAACCCGCATCTCTGTGTGATTATCAAAGACTCTCTCGAACCTTTGTGCATCATCCAAGCCGTATTTCAGATCCGCCCATCTCTGGATCAAAGATCTAATGTTAACACTTCAAAGTGATCAGCTTATCCGCGTTGAGTTTACGTCCCGACTTAAATGACCAAGCTTAAGAATCAATAAAAATGGCAACACCCAAGTGTGCCCTTAAATCCTTAAGCTTGACTCACACCCACACCCAAAGGGGTGCTTAGCTCATAATGAAATTAGAAAACTTAACAGAAATAGAAGAAGAAGAATGCATAAGAAATACTTGAACTGAAAATAAATACTTACTGGTGCCCATATAGGGCACACAATACAGTGGCGAGAATAAAAGATGAACTACGAAAATTAAATTACAAACTGAAATTAAACTAGTTCTACTGCTACAAAGCTTAAGAGGATGCTCCAAGGTGCTTGACTAAGTTGCTGGAGGAAAAAGTGGATGATTTGCTTGAGAGAAAGTCTTCAAATATATGGGAGAAAGGTGGGACCCGGATACTCTTTGTCCAATGGGCAAGGACCACCCATCACCACAAGTCTACTTCAATCTTTGACCAAGT